ACTGAGAAAAGTACCTTTTAAAAGATGACTTGGGTTGATAAATGTAACCACCTTCAGGTGATAGTTTCTTTTCAATCTCCATGTAAGAATTATGCAGCATCAAATGGACAACAACACAGAGGCCATATGTGTCTACCTGGTAACAGGTGACAGCAAAATTAGATACAAAAATGTTGGCTGAATTTACAGTGCAAAATAAAACGAAGACTACCTGAAATGTCCATGGCCTATTCTCTTGCATCCCCACACAACGAAATCCAGAAGTCCGGCAATCTCCCTTAAACTCCATATTGTCAGGAAAGAGATGCATATCTATCCCTCTTCCCCAGTCGACAAGGCAAAGACCCTGCTAGATAATACCCATATTAGTCATAAAAACCTAAACTGAATATTAGTCTTAAGCAAAAAACTTTTAACCTGATCATGCCAGGGACCACTTCTGTCACAAAATCCATCTGTTGTAAAGTCATTCCTGTATGCAAGCGTAGGTTAATGTTAATAGAAACTAAAGCTATAAAAACATGTCTAATAACCAGATAGAGCAGTAAGAATAAGAAGAAGAAAAAAGAACGAATGCGACTCAATATTACAAGTAGTAGCCTCTAAGAGAGAACAAAGGAAGGAAAATGAAAAAAAGGTGGCAGATCGTGAGTAAAATATATCAGTAGTCAAAGGTCCAGTTTTCTTTATGTTCAAGTTCCATGGTGCTCTTTTGTAAAACTTTTCTGTAAGACACTGTAACACGCTCAAGATATACCATGGATAATGGCTTTTACCTAGCATAACGAATAAGCAAATTGTCAGGCTTGAAATCTCCATGAATGATGCAAACACCATGCAGAGTTTCAAGCATGTAGAGCATTTCTATGGTGTAATAAATGCATAACACTTCTTCCATGGACTTGCCAATGACTGCAAACGAGTTTATTGCATCCTTCACAAGATCTTTAGGTTATAATAAGCATGACAAGAAACAAATGTGCCAGACATGAAAATTGGTATCAATATGATTAACCAACCTGAAGTGTTCCATTAGCAAGATAATCGCAGACGAGTATGCTACAGTCAGAATAGAGATGCATTCTATGAGCGAGACCAAAGCTTGACCTATGATACGATGGCATATAAAGTGTAAAATAAACAGAACAAGCAACTAGCAACTAACAACAAAAGAATCGGAGGATCAGGAATGCATACTTCCTTGTCTGAGATCCGTTGATCCAGTTGACGATACATATAGAACTCCCAAGGGAAAGCAGGCTTTTGTATCTGCCAAAAATTTCAAAGACTGAAACTATCCAGTAATTCACTGGTCAGGATTAGGTGAGGTAGAATTTACCTTCAATGCAACAACATCGTCAGGATTACAGCTGACATATGCTTTATACACTTGAGAAAAACCACCCTGACCTGCGCAACCTATGATCTGGTACTTCGTACAACCAGCGAGTACCACGATTTGGACAATCAACAGGAATACATTGACCTTCTAGCATTCTATGGAGCATCCATAGATAAAATGACAGAAAAATTAAAACAAAGAAACACCCAATTTTATCTAATGGAATCAGAATGTCCTGAGTCTCCAAGAAGATTCTGAAATGGAAAAAGATTCTGACTCCTGCTAAGGTGGTGCCGTGGCGACAGTGTAGGGCAGTGTTGAAGTTGGTTGGTAGTAGGTCTAATTCTTGAAAGGAAGAAATTAAAAAAATATTATTAATAAAAAAAATAAAAAAGAGGAACCACTGATACATTCAAATTTAGAAATAAGACTTTTGAACAGGATATAAACGGCAAATGTTCCTTTAAGGGGCCATGTAGCAAACCCCAAACAGTTGAGATTAAAGATAAGTCAGGTTGAGTTGCATATAAACAGAACTATTAGTTGGTATTGGGACAGTCCAAAACAAGCAGAGGTCGACAAACAGAGAGATGATAAATATCCTCCAACATCATTTCTACCTGATAACCGATTGCTCAAGGATATATACTAATAAGATTGAAAAAAAAGAATAAACCTCCTGTTCATACATCAGAGGCAAAATGCAAGCAGACAGTAAAAAAGACTTTATTTGTCTATCCATCTCTAAAATCTCAAACAATTTCCACTGAGAATTTCAGTTTAAATGTCTTCTTCTAAATCCACAAATTCAAACACAACACTAAGAGAATTTCAGCGCAAGATACTTATGCATTTTTTGTTTTGAAGCCTAACATATCCTACACCACTGCCTAAGGAAAGGTAAAAACCGTCTCACTTAGCTTAGAAGTTGGAAATAGAACTGTGTGCATAAATTCATATATTGGAATATAGCACAGATATTGAACCAATAATTTGAATCAATCACCTATCTCAATTGTCTTGTGCCTCGATGAGTTCTTCAGAGAAGACAACGCCACTTTTCCTGAGTAAGCATTAGTAGTACACCAGTATCCCTGAGACGTGTGAAAAGCAAAAACTAAATAAGCTAACTCTTAATCAGACTACAAAAGAGATTATGCAACTATAACAGGGAAACCATCTCACATCATATTTCATAAGTTGATGATTAATTTTCTTTAATAAGACTTTCATAGTGGAGCTGGACCATGGGTTAATGAGGATCCCAAATGGAATTGATTCATCATTGCCACTCTGCACCACAGAAATGAAAATTGATCAATTGTCTTACATACTACATAGGTATTTTGCAACTATGCAACACTTCAACCAAAATTATAAAACATTTAGGGCAATAAAACAGAAAATGTAATACATATCAATTGCCTATGTGTTGATTCATTTAGTCTGTCTTAAATCTAAACAAAGGACATACATAATATATAAGCCACATTAAAAGTTAACAGGTTTTGCAACATAACAAAGCACAAAACATGTCCGTCAAACAAGGCTTACTGAAATACAACGTCTGTAAAGTAAGTAAGGGGAGGAAGAAACAAGTGAACAACCCAAGTTTCACGACATAAGCCTTAAGATTTAAAAAGTTTAGAAATCAAAGAAAAAAGGCTCACTTACAGTCTGAGCTGAAGAAACTAGTTCAGACATCCTTTCAAGAAACAAGGCATGTGCCTTCTTCACCCACTCAACTGGTTTAGCATTCCTATCACCACAGAAAACATAGTAGACATTATATTATATTGAACAACTAAACTGCACACAAAATTATATAGAGAGACAAAGAGAGGGACCTCGAAATACCCATCTGATAAACCATGCTCGCATCGTACAATTTTCCTTTGGATTCGAGAAAGGATGCATACCAGACATAAAGCAAAGAGTTGCCAACACAAATCTTACTCTCCCACATTTTCTGAAAAACGCTTTCAAAATCTTCACTGAAATCCATCTACAAACAAAACCCACATACACAATTCAAGTAAACAAATCCTGAAACTAAGTATCTCCTACATGACCAGTTGGTGATGGAGCATCAATCTCATTGACAAAACGTTCCATATTGTATATTATTAACATATATAATGAAAGCAACTAAACAACTGTTTAATTAAAAGTAATAAACTAAGGTGACCCATCAAAGATATACAAGCAAAATGCATGAAAATTGGTAGAATTAGGTGTTAGAAAGAAGTGTACGACATACATAGAAGAACCAAATCTTGAGGAATCTGATGTCGTCTCAGTACTGATCATTGTCCTTGAATTCAGCAATGCAATCTGATAGAAGCTTGGTGAGATCTGACCCGGAATCCTTTCCCGAGTTCCAATCCTCAAGAGCTTGCTTTATCGACCTGGGTTGGTAAAACATTTTCAGGAAATTGAAGGGTATATATATGCGAGAGAGAGAGAGTACCAGAGCCAGGGCAAGAGAGGGTAGTGAAGAGGGGTGCTGGGCTGCGAGTCAGGCAGGATGACTGCCATGTCCAGGGGCGGAAGCACAGAGGGACAAGAGGAGTCAGGTGACCCCATGACGGCCGGTAATTTGGCTGTGGAGCTACTCAGGCGACCCCATAGCAAGGAGCACACCAAGTGCTGGACGTAAGGCCTGAGATCGCGGCACATTAGAGAACTGTAATGGCTTCTCTGGTTTTGAGTACAAAACCAGAAGTGAAAAGAAATGTGAAGTGGAAGAGTGAAAACCGAGATTTCCGAAAATGCAAAAGAAGCGGGGAAATGTTGGATTTTGAATTTTTATACTGAACTTGTGATTTTCAAGTTAACAGTGTTGTGAAGAGGTTAAATGGCTTGGATACATGTCAAGAAATCATATAGGAGACATACGGACTCTAGTTTTTTACATGTAAAACTCTATTTAGATTCATAAAGTGCCGAGAAACTCTAATTTTATTTTAAACGATAAATTAAAGAATTTCCAAATAACCAACAATTCAAAATTGGAAGTACATTTAAAATTCCGAGAATATGTTCTGGTTGCCTCAACATTATCTTCTACGTGAATCGAATCTAGGTGCACTTGTTGGGAAGGGGAGAGTTTAGCTCACTTTTTCATTGTGGTGTCACCCCATAGCAGACATAGACTTAGCCAACATGGCTAGAGCGCATGCGCTCCCCACTCTGCACCCGAGTTCGAACCCTCCTTCCTATAGGTTTTTTTTTATCAAACCCCTCCATATAATTTAGATAAGATTAAAATAAAATATCGTTTGTATAAAAATAAAAAATAAAAACCATATTTTGAAAACAATATCAAATCAAACTAGCCCTCACCAAAATCCAATTTTTTCCATGGATATGAGCATTTTGCAATGTTAGGCCATCTCCATCTCAATAGGCTAAAAGCCAAATTTCCACTTTTTAGCCCAAAACCCTCCTCCAACCCATACATATGATGGGGCTAAAAACCTGCCCACTTTTCAGCCCATCTTATTGCCTGGGCAGGTTTTTATGGAAATGTTGGAAGAACAATTCCCTTTCTTTTTTTCTTTTTTTCTTTTATAAAAAAATTCTCCAAAGAAAAATTGAACCATTGCTATCAGCTCCTGTGAGCCAATGCATTATTGTTGTACAACTACAAACTGACAACAGGCAAAAGACCCAGAAAAAAGAATTATGGAGCATCAGCTTGTGGTGGTGGTCCTCACTCCTCCACTCCTACAACTGTACCTTCACTTTTTAGTCTTCTCCTTCTCTTCCCCCTATTCCTCCATCACATCCCAACCCATTAATATCTTCCTCTTCCTCATCTTCAAAATAGTTCCATCCTCTTTTATTTATTCGTATAAGTATCTGGGCCATCCATGGAGGTCATGAGTAAAATTAACTTAAACAAGCAGATGAGGATGGAGAAGCCCCATGTGGTGGTCAAGGAGGAGGAAGAGGAAGATGAAGAATTTGATCATCATCAGCAACTGGAAGATCATGATAAGAAGAAGAAAGGAATTGTGGGTGGAAGTGGCTCTGTGAAAAGATCAGGCACAAGTGGAGGCGGGATGAGATGCTGTCAGGCTGACAGGTGCCCAGCTGATCTGAGTGATGCAAAGCAGTATCATAGAAGGCATAAGGTTTGTGACCTTCATTCTAAGGCTCAGGTTGTGCTTGTTTCTGGGCTGAGGCAAAGGTTTTGCCAGCAATGCAGCAGGTTGTGGCTATCCAATTTTCTTGTTATTTTTATCTGTTTGGCTTTTTTTTTTCTCTGGTTTTTGTTTGGTTTTGTTTCTGGGGTATGGAATTTACAGTCTTTTTTGCCCAGTTTATTATTGTGTTGTTTTTCACTTTATCAGTTTATTATTGCTCAGTTTCTGGCTGTAGTTTTCTGGTTTGTTTTACACTTTTTGGCTATGACTTTTCCAGAAAAATTTGCACACTTTTGTAGTTGCTGGTTTCTTCCATATGGATTTGGGGAAACTAGCTTAGTGTTGATGGACTTCTGGTCTTTAGTTGTTACTTATTTTCTTATATCTCACTTCAGTTTGCAATTGCTGGTATATGCCTGCTTGAAATTTTTATTTATTTATTTTTCTTATATAATATTAGTTGAAGATTCCTACAGTTCAAGTAGATTAATAATTTAAAAAGAAACTTTTATTTTGCTATATAAAGTAAATTCTATTGGGATTGTTTTTTAACAGCCTTCCATAGAGGATGAATATTCTTTCATACTGTTAGACTTAGATGTGGCAATACTCATTGGCTCTTATCCACAAATTGAATTTGTTGTTAGGTTACCCATCCCTTGGGAAATGACATGGGAAATGATTTCCCCTCAAATTCGTTCCGTGAAACAAATGGGCCTATGTGTTTACACATTGTTAAATTGGTTTTCTCTTGCAGGTATTTAGATTTCAGTCTTAATACTTTTAGTTAGTTATCCTGACTCAAAATGTTGTGTTGCAGATTTCATGAGCTGGCAGAATTTGATGACACCAAACGGAGTTGTCGTAGGCGTTTGGCTGGACACAATGAACGGCGAAGGAAGAATTCAGTCGAGTCTAATGCAGAAGGGCCGAGCCGCAATGGTACAGGCACTCAGTTAAAGGATGTATGTGGCCAGGGTGATAATAGTGGAAGAATTCGGATAACCATTCAAGGAAATTCCACCTACAAGCATTTCCAGATCAGATAAGATTTATCAAGCATGCTCTCTCTCTTCTGTCATCCTAGAGATGTAATAATAATTTTGGAGTTCCATGGTAGATATGTGTTCAGGATTTCTATTTAGGTGGAGCAAAAATTCCATTTACATTGTAACATCAATTTCTTGGCTGTGTGCTAGGCTTGCTATTTGGCTGTAGGTATAAAGCATGCTCTCTATCTTCTGTCATCCCAGAGATGTAATAATAATTTTAGAGTTCCATGTTAGATATGTGTTCAAGATTCCTATTTAGGTCAAGCACAAATTGCAGTTGTATTGCTTCATCAATTTCTTGGCTGTGTGCTAGGATTGCTAATTTGCAAGGTTAGGATTTTTGTTCTGGCTGTTCATGAGTGTTTTACCTTTTAAAGTAACTGATAATGGTGAAGGCAGAACCTTTAGGCATGTTGTCAAGGTAAGCAAACGTAACTCGAATATGCTAATGCTTTCACTTTTCAAGTGACTAGGTATAAACAAATGCAAATGCACGGTTTGATTGTTTCGATGCCGGAAATTGAATAAACGTTTAGCACCTTCAGATTAGCTGCTCACTTTTCCGATTTTTTCTTTTGTTAGCAGAATGCTTTGAGTGTGACATTTTGGTGGCTTAAGATTTGAACTGCTGAATCTATTTCAGACTTTGATGAGAATAAAGAGCTTTATTGTGCAATTTCACGGAGCTGCTATTGAAGTTCACTAGATTCCTAAATCTTGTTGAAGAAACTTGCTGTTGGAGCAAGCAAGTAGTGGTTGTCATCAGGTGTATTTTCATACCGCTGCTTTTCATGCTACTGTACTAGCGAGTGTATAAGTTTAGTTTGATGGATCAAAGATTCCATGTCCAAAAAACTGTTCACGAATTTAGTCAACAAAAAATGAGACCATGTGCTTCAACTTCAAGACTCCACCATGTCTAGCCATTGAGTCTTTTCTTTTTTTGACAGAATAATGCCTTGGGCATCGAGACCGGAACACTGAGCCACCGGATGAAAAAAACCGGGAAAAGTTGATTAAAAAGTCAACAAACCAACACCAAACCGAATCGAATTGATTCAAACTGGTTTCATACCTTACAAAATTGGACCAGACCGACTATGTATATTTAAGTCCAATGCCGACTATGTATATTTAAGTCAATGCTAAGTGTTTTAATCCCATACCAAATATTTCTCCAAACTCAACTTCAAAGCACCTCTCTTTTTCAGGCTCAATCATCTCTCTTTGCATGAAATTGGTCATTTGTGAATTTTTAAGCCCAAAAAATAAAATTTTAGTTGGAATTTGTTAAAAATAATAATTTGAAAATTATATTAAAAAAAACCATCTTGTTCAAAACTGGAAAAACCAGAAACCACACCGGAATCGATTTAAACCGGACTAACTGGTTTCATAATTTTTTTTACCAAAACAGAACCAAATCGCACCGGTTGATTAGTATTGATTTTGGTTTTGATGTGAGGTGGAAACCGGACCAGATCACAAGTCTTTTCTTCTCTTTTGAAGAGAGATGTCACGGGATCCCATTTCTGAATATCATACAAAACTTTTACAATTTGTTTGAATGAGGGACTCTGAAGTGAGGGGACACTTCAAAGTGATAGGATCTTGAAGTGGGGGGATTTCAAAGTAATGAGATTTTAAAATAAGGGGCTGCAAAGTGATGAGATTAGTAAAGTCACTTGTTTAGCTAATTATTTTGTTGGTGGGATTTGACTAGGTAATTTCTAATAAATATGAAATTGTTAGGAAATCTAGCCCTTGATCTCCAAGAAAGAACAAGTGCGAAACAATATAAACACGATTGAGAAAGACAAAAAGTAAACAATCACACAACAAAATAAGAATTTGTTGACAAGGTTTACTCAATATGAGCTGTTGCTAGAGATTCACTATAAAAGTAGAAGATAAACAATTACAAGCACTCAAGTGTTTTCTTCACACTCAATTGTAATTTCGTTCTTGACCACACTCATCTTGACCTTCTAACCACACACTAGCCGCAAATAATATGACTCCCTAAAGGCCTTATTTATAGTGCAAAAGACCTAGGATTACACGGGTAGGAAATAGAATTAAAATAGGAATCCTAAACCAAGTAGGAATTGAAATAGGAATCTAAAACCAAGAAGGAAACTAAACAGAAAACATGTAACATCCCACATCGACCAGCGAAGATGGGGTGATGTAACATCCCACATCGACCAACGGAGAGGAGGTGATGTGTCTTATATGTACATGCCAACCTCCATCTAGCACGAGGCCTTTTGGGAGCTCACTGGCTTCGGATTCATGGGAACTCCGAAGTTAAGCGAGTTGGGGCTAAAGTAATCCCAGAATGGGTGACCCACTGGGAAGTTGCTCGTTCCATCACCCATTCTCCGTTGGTTGATGTGGGATGTTACAATCCACCCCCCCTTAGGGACCCGACACTCTCGTTGGCACACTCGTACCACATGGTAGAGTGGCTCTGATACCAATTTGTCACATCCAGGATCACTCCACCGTAGCACAAAATTGTCCGCTTTGGGCCCCCCCTCTCTGCCCTCACGGTTTTGTTTATAGGAACTCACGAGCAACTTCCCAGTGGGTCACCCATCCTGGGATTGCTCTAGCCCCAACTCGCTTAACTTCGAAGTTCCTATGAATCCGAAGTCAATGAGTTCCCAAAAGGCCTCGTGCTAGATGGAGGTGGGCATGTACATATAAGGCACATCACCTCCTCTCCGTTGGTCGATGTGGGATGTTATATCACCCCTTCTCCATTGGTCGATGTGGGATGTTACAAAACAAATCATTTTCCTAGTTGAATTGTATCTTCACAGCTCAACAATTTCCCACTTGAAGATCAATTTAACACCACTCAAACATCAAAACTCTTCACACACTTCAAACATAATGACTCCATCCCCAGCAACATCTTCATTCAACATCAAGTTTGGAGACCAACTGAAGTTGTGAACTTCAGTTTGTAAATCATAAACATATCAACTGGATTCTCACTACATTGTAAAATTGAGATCCAACTCACAACAATACCACCAACAATACACACGTAGCCAATAGTACTCCGTTGTTTCAAGCCATATTCCATAGTTTGCATACAAAGTCCTCTTTGCCAGGTGCAATAAAACCTTGTGGATGCCTCATGTATTTTGCCTCCTCCAAATCACCATGGAGAAAAACAGTATTGACATCTAGTTGCTCCAAATATAGATTTTTTGCTGCCACTATGCTTAGCACCAACCAAATTGTGGTGTGTTTCACAACCGGTGAAAAGATCTCATTATAGTCAATTCCCTCATTTTGTTGGAAACCCTTAACAACTAGTTGCACCTTGTACCTTTTGCTTCTATCCACTTCTTGTTTGATCTTGTAAACCCACTTATTATGCAAAGCCTTTTTTCCTTGCGGCAAAGTTCTGAACTCCCAAGTTGTCATCAGAGAGTTCATCTCATTATGCATGCCAAGTTCCCACTAGACATGATCTTCATGTTGCACTGCCTCATCATAAGACTTAGGCTCACTAGTGCCAATCAAAAGCAAGTAATTGGTAGAAGGAGAGTACTTGTTGGGCGTCTTCTTAGGCCTTATCGATCTTCTAACAATAGTACGAGATGTGCTTTGTTCTTCATCAAAAGTAACAATCTCTTCCCCAAAATCTGTAACTTCAAGACCTTTTTTTTCATCTTCTTATGTAGCTACATTCACTGGACTACTTTAAGAGTCTTTAAGCACATATTCTAATCTTACAAACTGAAGATCTTTTTCCTTTGGACTTTCCTATTCATACACTACTAATTGCCTATCTTTGTGCGTCACATAGTCATTGAATATGACATCCTTACTTCTTATTATCTTTATAGATTGGCTTTAAGTGCAAGTGGAAGATTGTTAGAAGTATGCCCTAAAGCCAATCATTAGATGAAATCTTGTATGGATACTTCGTTTAACCAACCATTTAGGTTAACACTTAAGGGTAAATACGTCAACTGAGGTAACAGTCTAGACCGTGAATGTTCACCTGTTGACAAGTCCATAGTTTGTGAGATAAGGACAGTGATCTAAAAAGGTTGCGGAGAAACCTTTCCCTTTAAATCACACCTTGAATGTTCCCGATCATCGGATCGTTTAATATGGCATTGACTAGTAGCAAAGACATGTACACACTATGCATGCTCAATTGGGAGGATGATTAGTCTCGAGTCATTCGTGTAGGGATACAAAGACAAGTGTATAGGTGCTTACTAGAGAGTAAGTTCATTGAAAACGATTAAACATGAAATCTTGTATGGAAGTTTTATCTGCATGTCAGACAAGATTTCTCTTGTTATAATAACGCAAGGTTAGACATGAGGTACCATGGTTGCCTTATGGATCCATTGTTGATCTTTGACTGTATCATATTGTTGAGCTCATCCCTAGGTTCGACCAAGTCTGTAGAGGTATATGAGTGTACAACAAGGGATCTCGACTTCCAGTAAAGGGACATAATGTTCTAAGATATGATTCAGGAATTGCCCTCGGATCAAAAGGGAGAATTAAAAGGGAATTTTGATTCATAGTCGATAATGAAAGTGTTCAAGGACCGGTAACGGCCTAAAAGGAATATTGTGGGAATGGTGTTGCGTAGAGATTTCTAAAAACTCTACAACCAAAATTTGAGAGTATAAATCACCTAGCATGCCATATCTAATATGAAATCAAAGTAAGAGTGGAAGCATTAAATAAACTAGGGATTCAAGCAAGTCTCATTTGGTCCCAATCTTTATAAGTCTATGAAAGTGTGCACCAAAGACTCTCTAAATCCTATTTGAGAGAAAGATAAGATGTTCATACCCTTGGAGTAAATCTTGAAACCAAGAATGGTGTTCAAGTAGAGGGAGTGGTTCTTTTGTTGTTGGCTCTCCCTTTGATGTTGATTTTCTACCTTGTAGCTCTCCAAATAGGTACAAAGATATGCACCTCCCCAAAGCTCTTCACCAAGGATTGAATGGGATGAGAGAATGAGTAGACAACAAGTGAAGAGTGGTGCTAGCACCTTCACTTGATGTGATAGATTCAAGGGGTTAGGGAGAGAGAGCTTGATGTTTTCTCTCTTCCAATTTCACCAACTTGAAAAACCACTAGGATGATAGGATTCCATAGCTACACACTTATAGG